TTAAGTATTTTGAAAGCCCTATGGATACCCTATAAATCCGGAAAAGTCGTACCGAACCTTCTTTTAGTTTCGTTTATGTAAATCAAGGGGAATAGATATTTAAATCGATACTTGAACAATCTGATGGTGGATCATAGTCGGGCGCGTTTGCGAAATGATATTTCTTGCGCCAAACCTGTTTTTAAAAAATATGGAATGAAGTTGTGTAGTTGCCTGTATCTAAAATGATTAAACTAAAAAATTGGTACTCTTGCATTTGAAAAATTACAATAATAGTTTCATTGAATTTGAAATTAAAAAGGAGTGTTATACATGTAGGTGGCTTTCAATACCTGTTTCATTGTCTTGCGTGAAGGTTGAAAATGTTTGACACTTTATGAACGACACTTAGATCTCCTTACACTCTCGTATTCTTAAAAACAAATACATACAAACATCTCTAAGCGGCACGACTTTGACTTACTGGAACAAAACCTGCCTATGTTTTACAGTGAGCACTTTTGAGGAATGTTAACCTGGGTAGAACTCACGTGACTATCAGTATTTTAAATAATTTATTCCACACACTGTCACATGGGTTCAACATGGGTCATACAGGTAAATAGCTCTCACTTGCTATAGGAAAAACATTGTACTTTTTATAAATTTTTAATATTTCAAGTACGAGCCTAATCGTGTGCAAATTTCATACTTTCACACAAGTTTTATAAATGTAATATGCTTCTTTTGTCATTCGCACAAGTTTGCACAACATTGGGCTCATAGTTAACAAAGGCCTTGAAATGAATGACCGTTCTCGATTTACTATAGAAAATCGCAAATGTCGGCTGAACCCTACCACATTGTATATTTTTCTTCTTTGTATATTCATGGATTTCAGCAGTAAAATTTGTTGAATCGTATGGTTTAGATACCAATTAATGATTTGAGATGAAAATTTTTGCTCAATTTGATTGTTTATTTTTTCACATTTTACCGGGGCCCATAAGTGCACTCGTTCTTTATGTAGATAAAAATTTCAAAAAAGTGAAAATTTGTTTTTCTAGCATATTTTTAAGAAAAATAATGTAATCTAAAATCATTGTAAAACTTGCTTGTAAAAATATCATGATATTATCGTGATATTTTCAATTTTGAAAAAAATCGTGATATATCGTGATATGAAATTTTTGGCGATACTCATCCTTATATAAAATTATATAAAATGTCAAACTTCAAAACCTCTTTCAGCTGATAGGGTGGTCTATTTTTATAAGGTATATGACTTGACATTTTAATGGGTCCTGGGGAGTAGGTTCATGGACATTACATATCGGGAGAACCTTTTAACTCTAAAAATTTCAGAGGGAGGAGGATCTCCCCGACATATCTACCTTTATAGCAATGCATATGCATGGAACATTCATTCGAAATATGTTATATCTATAGTTAAGTAAAACCTGAACGAAGTCTTAAAATTCAGATCCCCCATTGCTTTTATTTGAAACGTTAAAGATATAAAAGAAAAAACCCATAAAATCCACTGAAGATGCCATGGAATCCCTAAAATGCATTAATGATTATCTTTAAACTGGAACTGGTTCCTCTCCTAAATGTTAACCTCAATACAGTATACGAATTGTTTCTCACTGTATTCAATATAATGTCCATTGCTAGTTTTTATATTCTTTCGGATTTATTTTGTAATTGTGTATGTGGTGGGGGGATATCACTTTACTAATTAAGCTCTTGGCACTTTGAAGTAAACGTTGCAGGTCTTCGGGATGAGAGCGTTTCATGTTACATGTAGTCGTTGGCATGATAAAGAACCCTCACTGCTGATCAATGGCCCTAAGCACCGAGTAAAGTCTAAATTTTAAGCCCTTAAGTATATGGTGAAGTTTTTATTTAAGTAAAAAGTTCTCAAGCGGGGCGTAACACAACACACATTCAACCAAACTGGGTCCTTTGGATGAGACATAGGCCTATAAACGGAGGTCCGAGTAAAGGACAAAATTTGCAGCTCTCCACTTGCAAGTGCATGGTGGCGTCTCCACAGTAGTGAAAAATTCTCAAGATGGATATTAAACAACAATCAAACAAACTAGCCCTATTTATCTATGGCCAGTGTCCTTCTTATTGCAATTAAAATTTTATATGCAGTTTTAGATTATAAATTCTACTTATTGTGATAGGAAAATAGTATTTTTTATAACGTTTACTTTATATGTAAGTGTATTTAAATAATTTTTATTTAAGTTAAACGTCCTCCAGCGGGGCGTAAAACAACATACTATCAATTGGATGAGACCTATAAACAAAGATCCCTCAGTCTGCTGTAATTTGGATAAGTCGGAAATATTGTGTAGTTTTTAAAAAGCTGAAATGCACGAATCTATTACACATAATTTGATATGTTTTTAAAAAGATGTCTGAAAATCTTGCAATGCGGCCCATTTCAAATTAAATCCCTTGTCTGACCTTACTTGGCTCCAGGTTATGTTCAGAAATAACCAGAAGCCAAATGTGAATCAAAGTTATTCATAATGTTTCAGAAATATGTTTACAAATTACAAATACAGTAAAATAAACTTTACATAATGAGCACCATTGCAAAACTAAATACACACACACACAAGTCAAGAATAAGGCCATCTTTAAAATAATGCTTGTTTAATGCAAATAAACAATTTAATAATTTAATAAACAAATAATGCTTCTCAAGACTCAGGGTAAAATTATTTGTAAAATTCTTTTCCCAAAAAATTTCAACATATTTGTTGATGAGATAAGAGGTATAAAAAAATTTCATGTTCTGAAATGTAAAAAAAAAAGTTTTCAGACGGGCCATTTTAGTCAGTCGGTCGGGAGAGGGCAACCAAACATTTTTTTAAGAGATGTTCTAAATTATATTACATGTATTATTACTAGTAAAGTAGATCTCACTAATAGAATCAATATTCTAAAGAAGAAAAAAATCTTTAAACAAAGTCAAACAACAAAAGTTTAACTTTTAGATTATAAAATATTTTTATGTTGCAATAAAACCACTGACGACTCTCCATAGATTATTTCCCCTAATGTTTCAAACATCTAGTAAAGGAGAAGTTAACACTACATTTAGATATATATAGAATTCTCAATTCTTATATCTTCAATAAATAGGTGAAATATAAATCCTGGTATGTTTACAAAATGAATTATTAAATTTATTATGCTTGTTTAAAATGAAGAGAGGTTTGTTTACAGTGGTAAAAATTATCTCCCTTGTTGCATATGGTAGCACATTTCTGCAATACATATTTTTTCAAATTAGTAAATATTTATTTCTAAAAAAGACATCTTTCGCCTTTATATATTTTTCTAGAGTTTTTATATCATGTATATGTTAATTAGAATACAATTTACTAATTATAAATAAAGAAAAAAAATTCTGTTGCAATTTGTTTGAGGTTTATGACAGTTTGACTGGACTATTTTCAGACAAGATAGTATAGAACAAACCTGTTCACAAGTATTTGTTCGGGGTATTTTTTAATAATGAAAATTTTCTACTCTAGACAGCAGTTCTTATAATTTTTTAACAATATGTTATTAGTATTCTTATATTTTTGCATGTTATTAATCTAAAAATATTTTGTAGAAAAAGTACAAAGGAACATCTCATATAACATCTCAATTTCTAAACATGTATGCGCTTCTATAAAAAATCGGCCGCTCCAATAATGACAATGCCCCAGACAAAGCCGAGATCGTGAATATGTTTTTTCAAACTTAAGCTGAAATTCCTTTTGAAGATTCATAAAAGAAATAAATTCAACCTCTTCAATAAAGCAAGTATAAAATAAATGTTTAAAAATCACGTTGAATGTTCTATAAGTCGTACCGTTGATGATAGATAAGTCCCCTTAAAACATTGCTGTGCTGTCATTCCTTTGTTCTTGCAGTCTAAATCTTTACCTGTGGCAGCCCGATATTAGTGAGCAGTCTGATATTAATCGTAATATCAGACTGTTTCAGCACTAATATCCTTAAAATTAGACTGCTACAGAACAAAAGAAATAAAAAAAATATGATAATTTAACAAACAGTCATTTACATTTCTCACATAGAATGATGATTTTGAAACATTGAAGTAAAAAATGCGTATCCCTCAGATATGACCTTAAAAACCGATGCCCCGTGTCACAGCATGCAATGACAGTATTAAGAACGTCTCTGTACATGTATGAGAGGAACATTTTCACATTGGATGTAAAGTAATGTTAGCAAACAATCAATCTTAAAGTCATGTTTCTGTTAACAAACAATTACTGTTACATCTTAGAATTAGCTTCTCTTTTTCTGAACAGCATTTTTTTCACAAAAAGCCTTATATTCCTGTTCGAGCTTACATTGTTGTTAAGTGGTCAACTTCATAGTCTTGACAAAGAATGTAATTTAAAAAAAAAAAAGAAGATATTTTTATGAAATATTATTATGTAAGAATTAATAATCATTTTTGTAAACATTCAATGAATTAATCATGACATATGAGGTATCGAACAGTATTCAAGCTCAAAAATCAATTTAAAAATGCAAAAAAAAAAAAAAAAGAAGCAGAGCAAAAACAGACCTCCAAACTGTTTGAGGTGGGATCAGGTATCATCTAAGATAACATAACCGAACAAGAGGGAAAAAATCATTTTTAGTTTAAATTCTACATTGATATATCAGCATAGCCTTCAAACTTCAAGGTCACACCTGATTACATTTGGACCTTTATAAATCTGCTTCATCTAGATCAGTGATCTTCTACATTTGCTATGGATTTCTGGAACAAAAATGAAGAATTTATATCTTATAATTTAAATACAACCGATGGTATATTCTTTACAAGTTGATTACAGCTTTTTTTCAATATAGTTGTGTAAATAAAACCAAAAGATAATTATAACATGCTTTAAAGTTCTTAATTTGCTTTAGTGTATGATATGTGCCTCTATATGTGTACAAGTAGATAAAAGCAAATAGATTACCTTCTATTTGTATTTTATCTTCTTGATTTTTGCACTGTCCCACTCGGCTACATACAGGTTATCTTTGCTGTCTGTACACAATCCATGTGGGCTTTCCAGATCTAGGCTATCAAGATAACGTAAAAATTGTCCGCCCTGATCAAGGATATGCACGCAGTTATTATTGCAATCAGCCGTCAAGATCTGCCTCAGGCTATCCGTGGTTATGCCTCGTGGTGCAAATGCTTCTTTCTTGGTACTTGGTGAATGGCCGGAGTACCTAAACCGGAATTTACCGGCATGGTTGACAACCACCACTGAGCCAGCACCACAATCGGCTACACAGATATCTCTGTTTCTGTTCTCTGTTATATACCTATAAAATTTTCCTGGCTTGAAAAGATGCTTTCGTGAATCATCTAACTCAATCGTCTGTTTTTCGGTTGTCCCAAAGTAACGGATAATTTTCGTTCTTTTCCAGTCGTTACTGAGAATGATGACTAATAAGTCTCCATTCATTGTACAGTAAACATTGTAGGGTTTCCACCTTTTCAACTTTATCAATTCCTTAGCTTCTTTATCTTTTACCAAATTTACAGTTCCTGCATCATCGTCTGTGTAAACTAATTCTCCATTCTTTGTCACTGCAATGTCCCAAGGTTCGCCTCCTGAAATTGTTTTGACTTTCTTTAATAAACGATCCTGGAAATTAAACAGAGATATAACGTTTTCTGTTCCACAAGTCCAAATTTCATCGTCATTTAAGCAGCTGACACTACGCAGATTTTGATATCCTGTATTAAGAGTAT